CATCGTCTGCTCTGACTGTGCAGACCGACGCGCGACTGACGTTGATGTTAACGTCGACGTTCCGATCACTACGAAGAGACCAGAAGCCGAAGAACACCCCCCGAAGAGAGCGAAAAAATTCAAACTGATGAACGCTATAATGACAATAAATGACAACGAACATACGTAATCAGAAACAACATCCCTCTAGGCACTAAGTTTTATACATTTTTCCTTTTTGTTATTCAAAGCATCTATCGAATGTTCGACCCTGATCGTGGTTTTTTTAAGAGACAGTGGCAGTGGCGCCTCAGAGAACTAAAAACATTCTCTCTACAAAGGCTGCGGTTTTTGTTCAGAAGCTACTCACATTCTTCTCCAATTTGGGAAAACTAACACCACAGAAAGCACATTGCATCACAGACCAGAGGCAAGAGGTCTCCACGTGTGTGATGACGTCCTTGCGAAGAACACATTCCTCACAGCCCGCGTTGATACACTGTACTGGTTCATAACTGCAGTCGTCTTGATGTTTCTAAATAAGAACGTATTGAGGATATTACATACCCGCGCGTAGATACGAGTTTTATCTTCGAGTGTTCAACTCGATATCTCACTCTAGCGAGTTGAACACCCAAATAAAATTCGTATCCACAAGTGGGCAGGTAATATTCTGTTTATTATATAGACACCGATGGCGAGATGCTGTGACGCTCTTTTCCTATTGGCTGAGACTGAAGTAGCCATGACAACCGTGATATCTTTACGTGAGAAGGATAAAATTGCATTTTCACTGGATACCGAATTTTCGTCACTGGAGAAATCCTGGTATTTCATCGGTGTCTATATACTGAAAATTAAGGCCTCTGGTCCAAATGTATTAAGTCAGTGAGAAACTGGGTATGCGAGCATACAGTTTATGTGAAATGCGCCTCAATCTTCAAAGGGAGGTATGGATTTGGTTACAGTAAAGGTTGAACAGAGTGGACGGTTGAAAAGGGGCGAAAAATCGCCGCGTGAAATGATCAATTCTTACCCCAGCGTCTCTAAGCTCTCCGGTCCAGGTGCAATCTCTATTGGGACATTTGACCTTGGCATCCAGTATTTTACGATGACATGCAACGTCAGAAAAAATCTGTAAAATCATTAGGGGACAAAAAATCACGTAATTGAAGAAAAATGAAACGGAACATTGGGCTGGTGTAGAACAATGAAAGGTGGTGCAACAATTAAGAAGGGAAACACGCACTGATGTGGACGCTGCCTGAGCCTCAGTTTGCATTTTGCCTGCAGGTCACGCAAAATTCTATCAATTGCAGCTTGGGACTACAGTCAAACGTAGGATGACCTGAAAATTGAATAAGCAGCTTGCAGTGTTATTTTTCTGTTTGTTAGTTTGTTCAGAGGTAGCAGGGAAAAGTTATCAAAAGTGATAAAATTTAAAGAGGAGATAAAAATTGCTAGACAATTGCTAATTAGGATTTTTTCGTTCTCGAGGACTGAAGGCAGGGGGTGGAGGTGAAGTGTTTTAAGCAGGAATTTTGATTTTACTGCATAGGCAACTGTTCGCATGTCACAGAAGTCGATAACAGCCACAGAGACCTAAACACGGAGTCTATTTTTTCAATAAGAATTTTTTTTAGTTTTTGTTTGGAAACACAACGATGGTACGAATTATCAAAAACCAACGCTAAATTTTATCCAAATAGGGTTAAAAACAAAAACACAAACGTTTTAAACCTTATTAGGGCAAAATTAGAATCAATACAACGTTTTTCTCAATGATGCTATTAAATGACCTTAAAAGGAAACGTTAAGTGAACAATTACTTCCAGTATGTAATTTTCTGATTTCAAGAGAGTGAATTTGTTCACGCTTTAATATGATATCGTTTTGTTAAATTCTTCACCAACAGGGAAAAATAAATAAATATTTATCATAAAAGGGTAATCTTTCATAAATAGTTGCTGGAAGACATTTTAAAGTTACGCGACAGATAACAACCCACTTTATGCAGTTAGGCAACAGCGATGCGAAAAAGTTTATTTTATTGTTACTATTTTAAAATAGGGTAATGGACTAAAACATGGTAAAGTAAACGAACAAAGGAGCGCTCCTTCAGTCTCATGATAATTGCAAATCTTTCCTACACTTCCTTACAAGATATATAATGCTAGTGGATAAAGCGCTGCATAAAACATGTCAGTGTGTTGAAAGAGGAGAAGAGATAAAAAAAATTTGATGATGACGTTCCGGATAACTTGTTTCCTTGTCGTATATTATCACGTCATAGATCATATTTGCATTGTTTGCTCACACTGAAATAAATTGGTATCATGAGGTAATATCAAATGTATGAACACTAGTCTCATACGTTTCAGCACAGAGAAATATAAGGCATGATTTCAATAATCTTAAAAGTCGCTTAGGTATGATAAAAGGGACCTCCACATGTCTTCACTTACCCTTTCTCGTGATATCGGCTCTCTGTCTGCTGGGCACTGCGGTTTCGCGGATCTAAAAGAAGGAAGTGATTCCGTCAGCGAACAGATCGAGTTTTTTAATTTTTCTCATTTTATAACTATAAGGCTTTATTTTAAGGTTGCCATTAGCCTCTATGAGTAAAACGATTAGATACTTGTTTGAAAACTTCGCTGATTGTTTTAGGATATGTGGAAGCCAACGTGTAATTTGATTTGGTTCATTTGTTATGGCGTCTCAAATTATTAAACGACATTCTAAGCGTTATACCCTAAAGTAAAACATGATTTCTTTTCTATCTCTAGTTACGTTATTAAGTGAATAAGTGACCTTTGCAAGTTGTAAGTTGTCTTCTCATGTCAAACGCGAAGAAAGACCAGATCGAAGTGTATTTAATATTCATGACAACTCCCTCGCTTTACTAAATTGCTTTACCGTAGGTCGCCCCTAGTCAATCAACACTCACATATAAATGCAAAAAGCGAAATGAAGATTGTAGGATGTAAACCTCCTTAGGCGAATTAGGCTGGGCTAGCTCTCTAAAGTTAGTAAGAAATTAAAATGACTGGCGTAGAAAGGCAGCTAGCCAGGTGAATACTTTCACGGTACAAGAGAAGATCACGAGAAGTCACTTGGCATATCGTACGGGGTCATTTGCACTGAATACCTGGCTGAAAGCTAACTATACGAAATAAATATACGCCCGAATTGTGTGTGTGTTTTTTTTCTCGAAGAAGAAGATGACTGCAGACTCAGAGAAACTTGTTTTAAAAATGACGGGTAAACCGCACATGAGCACAAGAAACACATCCAATTTCATACCTCAAAATTGTTCCAACACATATCTCACAGAGTCTGTGGCCGCATCTCTCGATCTGAATAGGATCTTTTAGAGGTAACTGACACACAAGGCATTCCCAGTCATCAGGAATATCCTCGACAAACTCGTATTCGTAGCCTCCTAAATTAGGCACTCCGCCTGCCGCCATTACTGTTCGCAACGGAAATAATAATATTAAACGTGACACCTTAAAGTCACGCAATGCATGGGAGAGCGTCACGAGATCCCTAGTTGTTGTTATGAAAATACTTATTTCGAAATAAACGTCATATCTAAGGCGGAGGCAGATGTAGTGAGAACTATTGTTAGTTTAACTTGCCTAGCTTCTATTAACACAAGTGGAGTATTGCTGTCCGCGCTGAGTTATAATGCGTAACTTGCATGTTTACTTTTTCAGCTATTTATTTGTTTATTCATTCATTTATGCATTTCAATTCCCTCTCACACTGAAGATTGAAACAGACAAGAAGTTCAGAACCAGCTTTACACCTGTCCTGCAGATAGGTAAGTGGACCGATACATTTTTTTGCTTTTTTACTTAAAGATTCCATGCAAAATGAATCCAAAGGAGAAAATGTGAAACTAGTTGCTACCATTGGCTAATAATAATAATAATAATAATAATAATAATAATAATAATAATAATAATAATAATAATAATAATAATAAGTATGTGACATTAGGGAATAATTTCACTTGCGTTTTGTCCAAATCCTTATAATTTCCCGAGCCTTTGATTACCTATTAATATCATGGGTGACGAATTACGTTAGCAATCGAGGATTTTTGACTTGTTTATCCTGGATCGTATCGATCGATCGTGAACTCCACTCTCTCAAACGTGTAGAGCTAAAATTTGGCTTAAGTTTTCAGAATTTTTCCACAACATACCTCTAAGAATCCGTCTTGATGTGCTCTTTCGTGTGTTCAGGTTTTCTAAAGCATCTTTTTATGCCCCGACATCTTCATTCATGACATTTTAAAACTTCCTCGCCATCTTGAAACGGAGACGTACGGCAGGTTGCCATGGCAATTTGGTAATTTCACTTGTGAAATTACAAATTAACGCTGAAATTTCGCGCCAGAATTAAGGAGTAATTCGTCACCTATGATCTTATAATAATAATAATAATGATAACAATAATAAATAACAATTTATATTCACAAACTAAGAGACGGGAATAGGGGTTGCAGCTCGAACTGTAACACCGCATGTTTAATTTTTTTTTCTTTTTTGCCGTCCGAATAGCATACAAAGTTCATCATTGTTACCAAAGAATGATTCACAAACACTTTTTTAAAAATATAATTAACAAAGTCACACAGGCTAAACTAGTCACGTACAATGGGAAAAAATTGGGAACGTATTCCCCAACCAATGCAGTCGTACAACCTCTGGGAGTTAAAGATAAATAATCAATCAATAGATAAACAAAATAAAAGTTGAAACTTCGAGAGCTGCGATGAATACATTACAACTGTCAAAACGTTATATACCTAACAACAATAGAGTCAATTTTAAAAAAGCCCTAACGGCTCACGTGCGTTCATACCAATACGAAAGTATTTACATTCTCTGTCACTGCCAGAACGTTTTGCTCCGTCGAATGTTAATACATTTTTATGATCTCTCTCGGTCGAGAAACTCGAAGGTGCACTATTAGATGTGGGATCATTTGCTTAAATTTAGTTTTGAAACATGGCCGAATCGCTACACAACACTCAGTTGCCTTTAGGTTACGACGAGGAGTTTGTGCAAGAAGTTGAAGATGATCTCGTTTGCTTAATTTGTCATTTCCCGTTAAGGGCGCCTGTTCAAACAAGATGCGGTCACAGATTTTGTAATGCATGCCTTGAGGAGCATTTGAGAAGGTACGTTTATGGAACTAAATTCTAATAAATGTTTAGTGTTGATATAGATTTGATCATGGGATAACAGAAAGATTGGATAGGAAACTGGCTGACGTGATCGGTTGAAAATGTGACCTTACCTCCGATGTTTTTGGCATCTTATTTTTCCTCGTATGTTTCCCTAGCTCTGTCTTCGACCTGACAGATTGCTCATGCTTTGGAGTAAAAGGATGAAGAGCGTTTGCTCTTGAGAAGACAGTTAGAGGGTACAAAACCGATAGAGGCAAAAGACAGAGTAAATGATTATGAAACTTACGAGAGCGACAGCGCCCGATAACTAAATGCACCAAACGGCAAGTCATTACAGAAACGCGCCCATTCAAAGACGTCGATCGTGAAAATGCAAATAAGTGAAAAATGACGTCAATTTAGTGTCAATCAAGAAATCTCCTGGGTATATCCCTTTCCTGGTTATTGTTCCTGCTCAGACATCCGCAACATTTGCCTATTCTTTGATGAAGAATAGAACTTCACGCGACTAACAATAGCTCAGTCTGTTAAAAACTGTCTAAACTTACTCCGAATTAGCATGTGACTTTTTGCTGTTAAACGCGTCAAAATTGAAAAATCCTCGGATCATTGTTGTTGATTTTACCGTAAATAATTCAATGCACTGACTTAAAATGAATTTCTACCTTTTACAAACTTCTTGGTGTTCGAATCGATCGATGAAATATGAGCGCAACCGATGCGTTAATAGTTTGTTTACATTTTGTCACGGGTTTTGGATAATATTATAAACCTTAAAATTTACGGGCAAATTCGACGAAAAAGCACTCTCACTTACATTCTTCATTTAAGATATTTATTTTAGCAAAGTATAAGGCAAAATTAAGAGCGATACTTTCTTTAAGAACGCTATAACTACATATTCAACGGCCAAACCTAGACAGCGATCTAATCCGTCTCTTGAAAACAACTACAATACCGCTTCTGATAATAATATTTATAAACGCTGCAAACATTTTTATTCAATCTTATCGAGTGATTTTCGTGAAGATGAGTTTTTAAGTGAAGAATACTTTGGTTTCTGATTAGTTTTAACTGTTTTGCCATCAAAACGATTCGCACGAGACTACCGAATTCGCGAGGGTTTTATGTTAGTGCACGAGGAAGAAAAATGCTTCTCTTTGCATAAACATTTTCTTCTTTGTAGCAATGACAAAGACATTCCAACACTTTAAACAATGGCAACCTACTTCTATTGTTTCTGCATTGTCTCTTGAAAGTGTGAGAATAGTTAACCGCTATGAAGTTCATAAGAGACCGAAAACGACGGTAGTCTTTGAAACTTCGTTTTTGCTCGCAAAGCCTAATGGGTACCCCACTTTTCACGGGCGACGTTTTTCAATGGGCGCGTTTCTGTAATGCTAACTACACGAAAGTACAGGAAAACATTATTTAGTGGCTAAACGCCTACAAAAAAGGCACAGCTTAATTTTCCACAAACCACAAGCAAACCGGGATTGACGATTTCTTTTTTGCTTTTATATAAGCTTAGTGAGTGTCAGTAAAATTGTCAAGGCATGATGTTTCAAGTACCCAGCTCAAACGTAACGATAAAAAGACCATATATGAGAATTGTTGAAAACGGGGATTAAAAGCTCGCATTTGATTGCGGACCTGACCGTGGAAACGCCGTTTATAACTTTCTCAAATTAATTTTTAGGGTAAGGCAACTTGTTTTGTTATTTTAAGATATAAATTTACGATTATGCAAGGTAATTTTCAGTCAGGTCTTTGAATAAGCGAAGTTTAAAATTGTTGTGTAAAACGTTTTATGGTAACTACTAGAATACAACTGGCCCGGAAACAAACTCTCCTTATTAATGGTAGAACCTTCACTTCTTTTTCCTTTCTCGTTTGTGTATTGTAGTGTGGCATTTTTAATGACGGATATGGGTAGAGAATACTTCAAATCACCTCTGAAATAAACCGGCATTAACACTGTTCCCAAAGAAAAATAGAAGGTGATTATTAAAAAAAATCAGTAACATCCAGGGTTTTTGTTTAGCCTGAGGCAAGTGGATATGGGCTTAAACTGTCTGATCACCTTATCGTGTTGTTGAAAACAAAATTCATACCCCAAACAACTGTACAGATATATGTTTAATTAATCTGATTTAGAATACAGCTTGGTAAGGTTTATCATCTACAGGTACATTGTTGCTTTGGATCTCTAAAAACCTAAATAAAATAACAGCGCTAATCAAGTCCATCTTTGGTTTGAAAACAATGTGATTCAGATATAGACTCTTGCTCGGCGCCAGCTCGGAAGGTATTTCAACCATTTTCAGAGGGAATTAGACTTAGTGAAGCGCACGAGGGTAGGGAATTTGACATCCTGAACGTCCCCTTGACTCAGCCGCCATCTGGGAAAGTGGAGAACTTGGGAATGAGTCATAAGGGGTCCGCCCTCTTTGAAAATACCCAGTACTCATTTGTATGAGTTTCCCACATTCTGATGTGGTCATTTCTTTGTGAAGGATGGCAGAACGAAAGTTAGGAGTATCTTATTTTGTCTCTCAGCATTGAGAACCAACACTTGCAAAAAGTGTCATTTGAAAATATGCTTTCTACTTACTGATGATGTTTTTTACCAGATGCTGCCCTCGCCACAAGAAAAATCATACTGAAAGACACGAAATAATCCCGCAATTCTCTGTTAGATTTTCTAGTATACACCAAATCTCGAATTAAATGAAATTCTGAACCACAGTTACAAAACACCAGTCGGCCCGCTTATATTAGACATTAACCCTTCTTGATGATGACACGACATGTTCTGGCACTGCACATTTTGCATTGCTGTAAATACTGTGTGAAACAATTCAAAGGTACTTTCGGGAGTATAAAATGTGTGTTAACTTGCCAGCCACGCTAAATATCCAGCTAGAATATGTCTTGTCGGCTCCTGGTCTTGTTCACTTGGGAAATGCACAAAGTTTGTGGGCAGTGGCGGATCCAGGGGAGCCCGCCCCCCCCCCCCCCCCCCTTTTTTGGCAACAGCGGGCCCGGCGCCCCCCAAAAAATTTTTTTTTTTAACCCCCCCCCCCCCCCCACTCCCCACCTCCCCCTACAACTTGTATTAGGGGTTGTTGTCATGTTTTATATTTGTGGTGTGTTCTTGTCCCGCTCGGGGCGAGGGGGCCCCCCCCCCCCCCCCCCTAAGTTTTAGACGAAACTGAGGCCTGAACGGCCAAAAATATTTTTTTAGAGACCCCCTCCCCGATCCCAAGTTTCACCATCCAAGTAATTACTTTAGGGAGATGCTGTTAAGCTGTTATGAGTCACGGCCTGTTAGTTCGCCCCAGGGGTGGGAATTTGAATAAAAACCTGGAAATGTCAAGTTTCTCGTGGGTTGCTCCCCCCCCTCCCCCATCCTAGGGCAAACCATTGATAGGTGGGTGCTTTTCCTCGAAGGTTCAAGTGTGGCTTTAAAGGGTCGCCATCGTCGTAAGACAACAAACGAGGCTAAAAAAACGTGAACCAAAAATTAAAGAAGCATTAAAAACTTCGAGAAAGAACAACATGCAGGAAAACAAACCCTACATTTCGACTGGTTTGCGCCGCATTTTGGCCATCGTTTGGATACAAATTTCCACTATGATGAACCCTCCTACGCCATCTTGGAGCACGAAACAACCAATCGACGATAAGAAGTCAGCCCACGTGACATAAATTTTCTATCCATTCCTTCTATTATCCATGATTTGATCTAACACCTTACACGTTATAAATTAAGCTGGAGTACAACCTGGGGCACGTGTTTTAGTTACCAACTCGACAGTGCCGGCTTCTCGATACGGTGTCAGCCGGCCATATTCTTCAACAAAGCAAACGACAGTCAACTCAGCTGTTCTCTGTTGAGCAAATGACAAAATAGTTTACGCTTCCTCTGTTTGGAGATGTGTAGCCATTGGTCGGTGACCGTCGGTGTCATATGCCGATAATCTGGTTCTTGCGTAACATGGCGAATAAAAACGTCACATTTATTTATTCAGTCACAATTTGTGAACAAAAAACAATATGCAAGTTTTAATAGCTATCAATCAGTATTTACACATTTGTTATTTATTATTTAATTTTTTTATCTTTCTATATATTCATCTGTTTAATGTAATTTTTTCTCACACTGAAAAAAATAACAAAACAAAACAAAAAAAACAGACAAGAAGATCAGAACAAGAATTCTACTTGCCCGGCCGACAGGAGACGCCTGGACCGAGACCGGGTAAATATAACCTCCATTTACTTTGTTGTCTTTTGAGTCTCAGTCATGTGTTTTAGTCTTGTCTATTCTCTATTATATATAAATACAAGGTAATACTGCACACAATCGAAAACGAGCTGATGAGTGAGTGAAATGTTTTTTAAAAGCTTTCACAATAAGCAGAAGCCGCTCCTGGAACAAGACTGAGTCGCACACACGAACTGGCAAATTGCTTTCGGAAGCGTTAAGTATTTACGTCAGCAGTTCGCAGCAAGATGATCTTCCAATAATTATAATAATAATACACAGAGAAGTATAAGTGTCCACGTGTTCAACAGTTTCATATCACGTAGGAAATGACCTTGAGCACTTCGTTTAACTTTGTTTCTGATTATACTATATTACAGGATGTGTTTCCCGACAACGCCACGAAAAGGAAAGTCCTATCGTTAACAATACGATGTGTGAATAATGGTTGCCCATGGACGGGTGATTTGGGCAGCAAAGAGGTAAAAACCCAGTATAATTAAAGGTACAATTCTTGTCATGCACGGCTTCTTAAATCTGAAACATTATCGTTCCCAAGTCGAGCGGAACCCACTCCTTTTCACCCACATATAAGACTCACAAACTGATCAGGTACTTCCCTTAACCCTCGGACGTACAAGGGGGTGGGGAGGAGCTCGCGCGCATTTTGAGGCAAGTTTAGTGATGGTCAGTTACTATGGTTACGAGATATGATGTCTTAAGTGAAAATGCGTGATTTAACTTATGGTGTTCCATAAAAAGGAAAACATTGAGCAAGAACAAGTAACGAAGACGGTCATTGTGTATTTCCATTCCACCTTGATTTGATTGATTGAGCACAGTACCGCCCACACCAGTATGCTCTTAAGGGGCGGGCGGGGTTGAGGTTCTGCTCTTATGAATATGCATTCCTCTCAGAAGAATTTGACAATAACTTTGCGAAATGTGTGCATCATGGGGTCTAAATTTCTCGCGGGAATGCCATGGCCTAAAAAAATTGACGGGTTTTAATTTAAATGAAAAAGGATAAATTTATTTGTTTTGCTTTGTTTTGTTTTTTCGGTAGGATCACTTGAAACAGTGCAGTAAATTGTCACTTCCGTGCCCAAAGAGCTGCGGGGAATCCTTGCCCAGAGAAATGGTTAATACATTTTATTGTATTTTGTGTCACTAAAGCCAGAGTGACCGGGAATCTGAACTCTGAAACACCTTTCTTCAAAACTACTTCTATCCTTATATGATAAAAAATATAAAAGCACTTGATCTTAGTTCGCTTATTTTACAATTTCCTTTAGATTCAGTATCACATTGAGAACAAATGTCCTCGGACTCTTGTCTGCTGTCCCTATGCTAAAATAGGATGCATTGAAAAGGTTTGTTCTTCATTAGATATAATTTTGAATTTAGCGTATTGAAAACATCATTGGCTAACCGTATTTCCAAAGCATTCTTTAGCGTTGTTTTCCTATGCAATGTAGTGTTTTGTAGAAGATTAAAAATGAGTGGAAGTGGCAGTACGCCGACAAATCCTGTGCCTGCTCCTCGAAGAAGGAGAAAGCGGAGCCGAAAGAGCCGAGCGCTTCAGTTAATTTGTAGAATGGGCGGCTGTTGTTTCAAAACACAGTTCGGCAATTTTAAGAGTGACTGGATAAGCTCTAAAAATATTTGTTTGTTGTCTCTACTACAAAAAGGTTAAACATTACCAAAGTTGCCCGACCTTCTGAAAAACGAATTTTTCGTTGTCCTCGTTGAAGGAGAATCTTCTTCCAGAAGGAAAAACAAAGGTTTGAAACTGCGCTTCGATGCCTTCGCAAATTAGAGAGAAACTAAACACGCCAACGGACTATGAACCATTTATTGCGATTAAAAGGAGCGAAAGCCTGTTGGTAAGAAACAAAAACATCCTTTCCCCTTAAAAGCGACTCCAAAGCTTCTGATTTTAGAACAAATCCCAATTCTTGTGCGAACAAATCCAGGCAATAGGCCACTTGCACTAAGAGGTCACGTGACCAATGCTTTCTTTAAACAATAAGTTGGAACAAGAGAATCTCTTGGTTGGAATCTTGCTGATGCCAAAAACTGGGCGCATAAAAATTTTCTTATACCCGAAATTTGAGAGGAAACGCATTTAAGGGAGATATGTTAAGGCACTTTGATTTTTCAACAAAGTAGTATGATCCGTATTGGCCACATGTTGGAGGGCATACTCTTGCCCTCCAAGATGGATCTTATTATTCTTTGATTTAGTATTCAGTATTGCAACAGGGAACACAGTAGTTGTGCGGCATTTTCTGTTTTTCATGAATATTTCGCAAAAACTCTATCTGCCTTCTCAGCTGTGATCAGAACCTATACTCCCTCCAGGCCTTACTCGGCGGGCTCTGATTAAGCAATCAAATTTGTATGCGGCGTAAGATTGCAATACGCATTGATGCAAAAAAATTCAGTAAATATACTATCATGCCTTAAATTACCATTCTCTCCACAGTTTCAGCGTAAAGACTTAGACGTTCACATTGAAGCAGCCACGAGAGACCACCTCAACTTAGCCTGTGCTAAGTTAGATGAGACAACAGTTGAATTGAACGAAACACGACTCAAATGGCATGACACCCAAGCACAACTGAATGAAACAAGAGTAAGTTTTTTGAATTACAAGCTCGAGATGAATATAGATAAAGAAGAAAGTACAACTACGGTTTATTTAGAAGCTTAGAGTTCAGTGAAATTTTGAGGCAAGCAAAGGCATGAGTAAAGGAAGGGGTACATCCTCTGTGTGAAAACCTCACGACCTGAAGTCACACATGTAACGTCAAAACTGAATACGTCTGAAGATCAACGGGATATCCACGGATTGATAGACCTCTATATTGATGAATGGATCGGTAGATTTGTGAATCTGTGGATCAGTGGGTCACAAGTTCTGTGATCGGTGTGTTCAGAAGATCAGTACATCAGTGGATCTGTGTAGATCAACGGATGAGTAGATCTGTAGTTCGGTGGATCGTAGATCGGTGGATATGTAGATCGATGGAATTCATTCCTTCTTTTAAGAAAATTGTTTTGTTTTTTATTACACTCACAGTTAAAACAAGGAACGGCAACGCTCTGCATGGACAACATTTCCAAGGAGTTCATAAAGGAAAAAATTTTCAATTTACCTGGTCCATTTTGTAGTGCAAGACGCGTGTACAATAGCTTTTCCTCTAATTTAAGACCAAGCCCTCAATTGACAGAGGAATGTTTTAGAGAACTCGAAAAACAATCTCTTGGTCATTTTAAAAAGGTAAAGAGGTCTATGTACTTTTATAAAGCACTCCCCTCGTCACTTAATGAAAACCATCTTCGGGGTTTTAATCTTTCTCTTGATGATTACATAAGAACATTTTTAAAAAGAGATGATCTTTTGGCCTCTAAGGAAAGAAATACAATGTTGCACTATCACCCCTTAGAAAAGGAACTCAGGGAATACCTGATAAAAAATCAAGCTCCTATCTTAGATGATTAATTCTTAGATAGATCACATGCGTCCCAAGCGCACGAAAAGAGTGCAATGTAATTAACTTTCTCTCTCCTTTGTTGATTGTGTCCGTGGAGAAAACGTTTTTGTTATTGTTCACCAAATGTTGCAATTGAAAGACTGTTATACAATAATTATAACAATCGTGAATATATTATTGCTCGCAATCTTTTCAATAACGTTTTAAAAATAAAGTGAACGATTTGATATAAAATATAAGATGAAAGTATTTAAAATCTTATTATTATAATTTTAATGTTTAGACTGAACAGCTTTAAGAGTTGTTATATATTCCCTGCTGTTGAACGGCATTAAGCAAAATATTGTCCTTGATTAAGAAAGTTTTACAATACAGTGGTTTAAAAAGGTAGTTAAAGGAACGTGACGCAATCGGCCCCATGGGGCATCTCTATATGTCTTTCTTTAGACCGTTAATCAATAGTTGCATTGTCATTTGCCATCACTGTCTTGCTAACTGTCTGGAGGCAAATTAGTTCTCCTTTTCTGAATGGCTAAACTAGTTAATGCTGCATTCATGTCTCCTTTGCTGTGATACATAGCTAATTATATTGAGCAATCCTGCTCATTGGTTTATATATAATCTGTGGTCAGACGTTCTGAGTCACACTTAGGCTTATGCCAAGTCATTCGCTGTTAAGCTGTGTAAAATTTTCCCGCCCTCCCTCACCTTTGAGGTTGACCTTAAAACAGCCACTCTTTAGTTACTCTACGTTTTCTTTGCTGCTCAGGCGTTTATTTTTTTAACGGGTTAGTGACATTAATGTATTATTAGAGATAATAATTAATTATCTTACATAACTAATTTTTTCACTGATAAAAGATGTAGAAAAGATTATGTACGTGTATCAGAATATTAATATTTATTGTAACAATGTTTGGCTGATATGATAATAAAGTGAGTAGACCGGGTCTAAAGTACAGGTCACATTCCACAGCTCAAGAGTACAGGTCACTGCTCCATCCGATAAATTACCAAACCACGCAGACTTCCCGAGGGCCTTGATCTAACAGAGAATTTTGGTAAGGGATTTGAGCTAGGAGACAATTTAATGTATCCATTTATCTGTATCATGGTTACCCGCAGTCTGACCTGTGGAAATGTCACCTGTATTTTAGACCCGCCGGATTCTTTCTCTTCTTAATTGTTTTGCTTAGTTTTTTTTTTTTCCTTTCTTCACTGTATATCTTCTCTGAGTATACCAAGTCTTCTACACATTCTTTTTTTTGCATGTTCACTTAACACTGTCACGTAACCACAAGGCAAATTGCGTGACGACAAAAAACAGTTGCATAGAGGCAAAGGTTAACAGGGCACATTGAAACTTACCTTGGATGAGCTCCATCTTGAAATTCAGCTCATTGAAAATCTCCCTCGAAACCCTCGAACGTTTTCTCAGCAGCGAAGAGAAGATAGAAATTAGCCGCGAAGCATCATGGGATATATGAAATTTCCCCCTTGCATAGAGACTATACCTGGCCCGGAAGCATATGTACATCTCGTCTATTTAAATTCCCACCGGAAAAATTCCATTTGTGCAAGTACCTTAGCAACAAATAGAGAGGAGAAGTGTGACGTAACGTTACCATGGTAGAAAAATTTTTGGATGACAACCAAAGGGAGCTTAAGCAACGACGACGGCAACGAGAACGGCAAAAAAAATAGGTTTAGATCAGCAAAACAACAACTTTGTACATGCATCACGTTTTTTGTACATTTCTTTGCCGTCGTTGCGACATGAAACCTCCTTTATTTATGGAGTAGGTAAACACAACAGAAAAATTTTCTTTCCTCTTTTCAAACTTAGATACCATCCTTTGGGATTCAACCCAGAAATTTCGTCAACATTTAACAAATTAAATGAAACTGAATAAAATCGACGAAGTTTGAAACAATACGAATTGACTTTTTAAGTGACGTTTTGGTTTGCTGTCATCCAGAATTTTTGTCCATGGCAACGTGACGTAACGACTTCTCCTCTCTATTACGGGAAATCGTAAAATATAAAGTTTGAGCCAGGGCTAAAAGCGAAGCTCTGGTTAATAATACGTGTAAACAAAAAAATTAAATCGTTTAACGCTAAACGGGAACGACAAGGAAAATGGCTTCAAGACTAATAGATCTAATTAGCAAAAAAAACAAATTGCACGTGCAGCACACTTTTTCTTCTAATTAGCAAAAAACAAATTTGCACGTACAGCACGCTTCTTTGTCTTTTCCTTGCCGTTGTTTTGCACGACTACAACGCTGTTTTGTACGACTAAAACGTCAAACTTCCTAGTTACACATTATTTTTATGGAGGAATTGTCGTATGTGCTTACACAATATTTGTTTCCTGTGTTCATGTTCGCTTTTATTTTTCACTTCCGCTCATTTTCACCTTGCTGGCCGCTAGTATTTCTCATTTTCTCACCGCTGCTTTGTGTTTCCATGGTTTTCTTCCTGCGAAATTCGTCTCCTTTGTTTTCAATAACTTGCTCTAGCTTTTTCTCTGTTATCCACGTTAGTGTAAACATAAAAAATAACGCCGAAAAAGACACGACTTTGTTGTTGTTTTTTCTTTCCAAAAGTCCGGGCGGCCATGTGATTTCCTTCCAAATAAAACCTTGAGTTGCATTTGGGTTGCCTGCCTGTGGTGCGGACTGTCGGGCGGGCGGTCGGTCGGTCGGTGTACGGTCACGTGATTACCAAATTTTCTCGGATGGGTAGATTACCAAATTTCCTTAGCTGTGGAGCTCGGCTATTAATGTTTTGGTATAAATTGAGCCAATCAAAAAGAATCTCCGTTTTGAACATTTTATATGATTGTGAAATCAAGTTTTAGCACTTTCAAAAATTACCAGATTTTCATAATGACAATCTTGCATGGAGACTTTAATTATGATAAATCATTTTGTAAATATTTTGGAAAAAAAAAGGCATTGAAATTCACTGTCTCACCTTTATGCTGAGATATAAATGTTGCAGTCCAGATGGTGTAGACAACCAAATTGTATCGAGTTCTTACTTACGATCCTTGAATAAATGCTACGTTCTCTTCATTGGGTGTGGTATTTATTTCATTTACCTATTTCTAACCCTCTAAGCCCCCCCTACTAACCGTCATGTCACTGCTGTGTATAGCATCCGGTTTTATTACATTTGTGATCAATTTGTATTACATTTGCGTGCATTAATACATCTGTGGTCAATTTTTATGACATGGGGCTTTATTACATTTGTGGCTTCAACTGTCGTCGTTTCCTTGTGATAGCCTAAGAGGGATAACTCTTTTGCTCTCTCCTTTTTCCATGTGGGTTTTCACATAAATGAGGACTTGATGCTTATTTCTGCACAGGTAATGCACCAGTCAACGTTAAGCACCAAAGTAGATGGGCAGGGCGTCCATGGGGGATTTGACTGTATTTGCTATCCCATAGCTGGGAAATAATAAAAGCTTTGACTTACACATGATCCCGAGGGTGGGGGAGTTTGACAAAATCTCGCAAGAAACTGGAACCTAAACTTAATTTGTATCATCTTATATAAAAACTATGTAACTCCAGGAAAGAGGTACTTGACATTAGTCTTTTCCCCCTGGGTAAAGAATTTAACATGAAAATGGCCTAAAATGTCAAATACCTAACATTATTGGCTTAACATAAACTCTGCCAATATCGAGTGTATAATTTTGGAGGCCAAACAGGGGTCGTGGTTTGTCAGTACTCATTACTACCACCTTTCCAACGGATGGGATAGAGAGCTTCTAAAACATTATTATTATCGCAAAAAGGACAAAGAAGGAACTCACACTACCATGCCTTGAACTAAGAACGCTTTGGGATCTGCCAACTTAAGTGATAATAGGCCTTCCACGTGGTATGCACAAACACGCCCATTGTAAAAACAAAGAAACATCTTTGTTAAAATTTCCGATCACAACTCGAATAACTTTTGCGCTCTTCATATAAGTTCACAGAAAGGCAACGTGTAGTGATTAAAGCCAGAAGTAAACCAGGAAAAACGAACATGTTTTGCACATCAGACTCGGACGCCTTTTCGTCTGCGCGAAAGGGGGACTGGATCTCAAGTTTGGAGTTGTCCCCATGCCCTTTCCAATGGTGATCCATTGATCAACATAATTTCATCGGTCCATAGATCCACAGATCCACAGGTTTATCGATCCAGCGATCTATCGATCTACAGATCCATCTAACTACAGATCCACCAATCTACAGATCCACAGATCCACCGCTCCATTGACCCATTGATCTACCGATCTACAGATCCATGGATCTACTGTTCCATCGAGATCCCGTCGACGGAATCATCGATCTGCAGATCCCCGATCCATCAATCTATATAATACCGAATCACTATTGGTAACCTTTACTTCCAGCTATTTGACATGTGTGGCGTAAGGCTTGAGGTATTTACACCGACTGGATGTGCTAACTTCCACATCTTAATACATTTTGAGTCATTTTAGTTTAAACGTTTCATGATTAACTCACTTTCCTGATTCCCGTGAAATCAAGAGAATTTCTGAGGTTGTCAAATTTAAACGCAAACTAAAACCAGATTGGTCAATAACAACAGTTAACTAGAAATACGTTATCGCAAAAAATCTCGCGAAGTTCAAAGGATCAGCAGTGAAAATAAACGGAAACAAGCCAAAGGGTAAAAATAAGATAAAAGAAAAAATGAGAAAAAGTAGCCCCACGGGGATTTGAACCTGCACTCCAACTTCCAGCGCAAAAAGTGAGGCCTCGTACCACAGGGTCATGAAACCACAGCACACCTTATTATGTAAAATTAATAAAATTCAAGTATTTCATTCCAGTACTCTGCCATTCACACCGTTTGAACCTTGTGGAGCTGTAGTTATCACAAATTCAAAGATACATTTTAAAAAACAAATAGATAAAAAAGTATTTCAGAACCATTTCGCGTTATTTCCGTGATTACTCACTCTCGGGCGTTACATAG